GGCTACATTTCATTGATCAAATCCTACCAGGCCTTCTTCACCCTCCTCATCATCGATTTTAGATCTCTTGTTTTTCTCTTGTCCCTGGGTTTGTTGGCTTCCCCCTCTCTTTCCCCTTCCTCCCCTTCTGCCCTGTCCCCAAGAACCATCAGTCCTGTTGTTTTCTCCTCAGGGTTGTTTATCTTGCTTATCTTATATAGATAGACAAGTCATGATAATCTTAATTATTTGAATGCCTTTTGACAATGTACAAAAAGATGTTGCTACCTCATGACACGATATGCCTAACCTTGATATCTCTTCTCCCAAGACAAGCTGGAAGAAGGTCTTCCCAACCATGGACCAGGGCAACCACACCCATGTGAAAGAGTTTGTCTTCCTGGAACTCACTCGCTTTCGGGAGCTGGAGTGTTTCTTGTTTGTGGTCTTCTTACCTGTGTATGTAACAACCGTGTTGGGCAATGTCCTCATTGTGGTCACTGTCACCTGTGACTCTCGCCTCCACACTCCTATGTACTTTCTCCTACAGAATAAATCCATTCTGGACATTGTTTTTTCATCCATCACTGTCCCCAAATTTCTCGTGGATCTTTTATCCAAGAGGAAGACCATCTCCTACAATGGTTGTATGACACAGATCTTTTTCTTTCACTTTGCTGGTGGTGCAGATATATTTTTCCTCTCTGTGATGGCCTATGACAGATATCTGGCAATTTCCAAACCCCTCCACTATGTGTCCATTATGAGGAGGGAGGTATGGTTGACCTTGGTGGTGGCTTCCTGGGTGGGCGGTGGTCTACATTCAATTGTCCAGATAATTTTGATGCTTCCACTCCCCTTCTGTGGCCCCAACATTCTGGATGCCTTCTACTGTGATGTTCCCCAGGTGATCAAACTGGCCTGCACTGACACCTTTACTCTGGAGCTTCTTATGATCTCTAACAATGGACTAGTGACCCTTTTGTGGTTCTTCCTGCTCCTGGGGTCCTACACTGTTATTCTGGTGATGCTGCGATCCCACTCTGGTGAGGGACGGAACAAGGCCCTCTCCACCTGTACATCCCACATTATGGTTGTTACTCTCCACTTTGTTCCATGTGTTTATATCTACTGCCGCCCCTTCATTACACTACCCATGGACACAGCCATCTCCATCAATAACACGGTTATCACGCCCATGCTGAACCCCATGATCTACACACTGAGGAACCAAGAGATGAAGTCAGCCATGAGGAGACTACAAAGGCGGCTTCACTCTTCTGAGAGCAATAAACTAGGGTGAAGGAATCAAACTGAGACTGGAAATGTAGTATTCTCAAACTTCTAGCCCAATGATAAGGGAAACCTGATTCTTTTCTCGATGACCTGTATATACTCAGAACCATGTAACTCCAATGTCATTGGTTACTAGCAATGCTACAGTCAACCCCAATTCATAGAAATTCCATACACACCGAAATGCTCCCTAATCCTACATTATTCCCATGATAGACTAAAGATCAGACTATTGTGATTTTGGAAGTAGAACACCAAGCCTCCCTGCCTAGTCTGCCTGAACCTGGCTTTTCTTTCATTGTACTTTATTGTAAAGAGTAAAGAGGTGCAGATCAAAGAGGAGTAAAGAGGATTCTCTCTGTATCCTGACTCTTACAATCGAATGCTACTGAAACTCCATGTGACTGAAATTATAAATTTCATATCACCAAGTAAAGTACTTAAAACAAAGTGCTTTGTTTATAAAGACAGCCTATGCTCTGACATTCATAACACTCTCTGCTCTTCCCGCTACTGCATTCGATAGCTCATTGCAATGGTCACACAGAACTCACAGCCAATGCTCGTGATTATTAAGGAAGTTCATAGGTTACAATGTAGATGGGAAATGCTTAGCATACAGATGTTCGGTTAAGACATGTTACAAAGTTCCTTCAGGGATACTAATAAATCTCCAAAGGACATGCCACTCTGCTTTAAGTCTCAGCCTGAAAGCATTCAACCCAACGGAAGCCTGCCTGTTATGTCTGAAGTGTTTGTTTCTTACAATATCTTTGAGGCGTTTGTCAACAGTTATAGAATGCACATAGTAAAGTGCTGCCCAAAGGCAACGAACAAACTATGGCTTTGAACTTCTTTTAATTCACAAGTAAACCATTTGGTATTAGTTTTTCCCCACCATAATGATAATCTTTTCTTGTACATTCGCAGGTTTGGGGTTGGTGATGGGGGTTGGGGGGAAGGTTGGGTAATTGTGGGGGGCTGTTTTCTGAGTTTGTTTGTTTTTTCAGGTCTCAAAATAACTCAGCGATGCAATTACAGTAGATCTTTCATCCCCACTTGATATGAATTAAATGAAACACCGAGAAACCAAGTGATTTCCTGAAGCTCACATGTTGTTGTGTTGCTCTGGCCCATAGCAACCCTGTGCACAACAGAACAAAACACAGCACAGTCCTGCATCATCCTCAAAATTGTTACCATAGCCAAGCCCATTGATGCAGCCACTGTGTCAATTGATTCCGTTAGCACCCTCTTTTCCGCCACCCTTCCACTTTACCAAATATAATGCCCTTCTCCAAGGCCTGGTCTCTCCTGACAATATGTCCTACGTATGTAAGATGAAATCTTGCCATCCTTGCCTCTAAGGAGCACTCTGGCCTGACTTCTTCCAATACAGAGCGGTTTGTCCTTTGAGCAGTCCACGGTGCTTTCACACAGGACACTGATCACATACACACACACACACACACACACACACACACACACACACAGCAACCAAATAGATTCTGACTTCCAGAGACCCTATAGCACAATCTTGTACATTGGTTGAGTGTATAGGCTGTGAAAAGAACCCTCTCCGTTCAAATATTATTTCTACCATTACTCTCTGGCTGACCTCGGACAAGTCAGCCAGCTTCAGTTCTCTTATCTGTAAGCAAAGATAATAATATTAATACCCGTATCATGGGTTTTTGTAAAGCTAAATGAGCTAATGTATACGAAAGAAGCCTGCTCGTTTGTTATAGTTACACTGCTGTTTCAAAGAGCTTGTGTGAGGAAATACAGTGAGAGGCAGATCTGACCCCCTCTGGCTGCCCAAACAAGAAAGAGAATGCAAGGCCTCGCCAGTCCAAGGCAAAGTGCCCTCTATTCTTCTGTTCTGGTATCCTCCTTCCCAAGGCACTCTACTTCTCCAGTGGGCTCGATAATTCATTGCAAAAGTCACACAGAACTCACAAACAATACTCATGGTTATGGGGAAGGGTTATTAGGGAAGCTGACCATTTACAAAATATTAAAGACACGGTTGTGTTGTCTGCAGTACCTCTCCGAAGACATAGTATCTGGCATACTTCTCGCTGGTCCCTGAACTCTAGGCCACATAGTCCCTTGGCCTCTGTCCTGTGCCATGGGATGGAAGCTTGACACTCTGCATCTTGGTCTTGGTGCTGTCCCTATGATCTTCTCCATGGTCAAGGTACTGTGGCCTCTGGTGCCTTTGTCACTTCACACAAATTTAGCAGGGGCTCTTCTGGTAGCTTTTCTATCTTGATAGTCACAAGATTCCCTCTCTTCTTGATTCTAAGATGGCTCACTAACATATCCAGTGCAAAATGACAATTCCTCTCTATTAGTGTTTCGTACTCAATATTTATAGAGTCCTACCCAATCATTTGGTGAGAATTACAAAAACCAGAATGGAAAGTCATACCAAATAATTTCAATTCACAAAAATGTCAAATTCAGACATGCCCACAATATAACAACCAGTATTGAAATAATACTCTTTCTATTCAAAACTCCAAACCAGACTAACTGCCATAGCTCCTAGTGACACCCTGTGGGTTTCCAAGACTGTAACTGTTTACAGGAATAGAAAGCCCAGTCTTTCACCCAAAGAACTGCTGGTGGTTTTGAACTGCTGACCATCAAGATTGCAGCCCAGCCCATAAGCACTACACCACCAGGGCTCCTGCTTTGTATTCAAAGTGCACTTTATAGAATGCAGCACTTTCCAATATATGTTCAACAGGACAAAACCGTTCATAAGATACACCAAGTAAGAAAGACAATGATAGTGCCACTTGGAAAACAAGGTGAAAGACAGCGCTCATTTTAGAGAATCATAACTGCACCTTCCCTTGTTACAGGCACTGAGCACACCTGCAATTAACAGCTCCTTTACCTTGATCAGCAAGAGCCCTAGTGGCACGGTGGTTTTGAAAACTCATAGGGGTCACTATGAGTCAGCATCAACTCAATGGCAATGATTTTTATTGGCTTGGTTTTCTTTATACCATAGAATGTTCATGTCCCTGAATAGCAATTACTCAACAGGACTGGGGTCCCACAGATAATATTGATCATGGAGAATAATATTACAACAGACTATAAGAGGTAAAGAAATTATCTATGAAAAAAACTGAACTTCAGAATGGTAGCAACTGGTTCAGTCATGTTTGATGCATGAAATCAGATTAGATCTGACTTTTTTAAATGTGGGTGTTACATAAAGGTAACAGTTCCATTAAAAAATTATAGGTCCTAGTCCTGGACAGGAAGACTTGAAAGAGGGGTGGAGAACTGTTTCAGGAGCCTAATATGGGAAATTGGATTGTTATCATGACATCAGAGAGTAACACACATTTGAAGTGATGCCGTTTGCTGCCATCTTTAAGGTGGGCAGTCTTTTCTGACCCTATCAGTAAAGAGATTTGTTTGTTAACCCTCATGTTATGCCACCTCTTCTTTCATGAGAGGGAGATTGAGGTTTTAATAGGACATCTACCTGCAGTTTTATTCATTCTGATTATTGTTCAAATGAACATTTGAAAATGTTGGACATTATGTTCAAATGAACATTTGAAAATGTTGATTCCTTCAGCTTCATATCATCAACCATGAGTGAACTTGGGAAAGATAGTTCAAAGTACTAAAATGATCCAAAAAGGTTCTTTTGGGTATTTGACAATCAAAGAATCAAGGTAAAATATCAGTAGTGTGTAATAGAAATTCTGATTGTAATTTTTGCCTTTTAGGCCAGTGATTCTTTCAGAATCAAGGAAAAGACATTTTGGGAAGCATGTTTTATCTTTTTACAGATGAAAAGAAACAGAGACGATAATTTCCACTTCTTTCCACCATTACATTCCTCTCTTTCAAAAGGCTCTCTTACGCATCTGTGCATACCCTCAGTCCTGGAGCGCTGTCTCATGTAGTTCAAATGCCACCTCCTTCTTTCTTTCTTCTTTTTTTTAAATAATTTTATTGGGGCTTTGTACAACTCTTATCACAATACATACATACATCCATTGTGTCAAGCACATTTGTACATTTATTGCCATCATCATTCTCAAAACATTTTCTTTCTACTTGAACCCTTGGTATCAGCTCCACACTTCCCCCTTCCTCCCCGTCCCCCTCCCTCACGAACCCTTGATAACCCTTCTTTCAAGGTTGCTTTGATTCTCTTCATTGTCCTTCCACTGAAAGGTCACAACAATCTCTTGGAACTTGGCGTAACTGGTTTATGTCCCTAAGTCCTACTGGACTACGTTTCTTAAGTCAATAAGTAACTACTTCACACTTACTCGTTTTTCACTCTGCACCAATATCATTTGCTGTTGTTTAGTGCACACAACCATATGAAACACTTCCTGGTCCTTCATCATCACCCCAAGTGTTGTTATATTTGAGTCCATTGTTGGACTCACTGTGTCAATCCATCTCCTTGAGAGTCTTCCTCTTTTTCACTGACTCTCTACTTTGCTGGAGCCCTGATGTCACAGTGAGTTACATGTTAGGCTGCTAATAGCAAAGTCTATGATTCAAAACCACCAGCTGCTCATGGGAGAAAGATGGACCTTTCTACCCCTATAAAGAGTCACAATCTCAGAAACCCACAGGTGCAGTTCTACTCTGTCCTATGCCCCATCACTGTGAGGCTGAGTCATCTCTATGGCAGAGAGATGCTGAGGTCTACTTTCCCAAGCATAATGGCTTTTTCCAGAAGTTCGTCTCTCCTGATAACATGACCACAGTAAGACAAAAATCTCATAATACGGGAGGGAGGGGGAAAATTAGGAGCTTATACCAAGGGCTCAAGTAGAAAGCAAATGTTTAGAGAATGATGATGGCAATAAATGTACCAATGTGCTTGTCACAACAGATGTATGGATGGATGGATTGTGATAAGGGTTGTACGAGCCCCCAATGAAACGATTTTCTGAAAAATCTCACGATACTCCCTTTTAAGGAGTATTCCAGCTTCCTCCAAGACAGATT